TGATACTTACTTACTTACTTGACCCCTATGACTGACTCTCTACACTTGACACTTGACTCTATGATACTTGACTCTACACTTGATACTTGACTCTATGTTATGCTTACGACTTACTTACTTACTTACTTACTTCAATCTACTTACTAACTTACTTGACACTTGACACTGGACTCTATGTTATGCTATCTCTATACTTACTTATACTTACTTATACTTACTTACTTACTTACTTGACTTGCTTAGTTACTTACTTACTTACCTACTTACTTACTTTTACTTACTTACTTACTTACTTACTTGACTCTATGCCTCTATGACTTACTCTCTACATCTCGGTATCTAATTCTCTCTTTTAAAGCCAGGGGGTGGCACCGTTGTCGTCCATCGGGAATGCAACCCTTCCCAGGGATTCGCCTCCTCGGGCGTTCAAACGCGAGGTAAAGTTACACATTTTAGGCGCCCGGGTGAACCCTTCACAGGGATTCGCTGCCTCGGGCGTTCAAACGCGAGGTAAAGTTACACATTTTAGGCGCCCGGGTGAACCCTTCACAGGGATTGGCATGGGCGAGGGCCCAAACGCTAGGTAAAGTTACACATTTTTTAACTTATTAGGCGCCCGGGTGAACCCTTCACAGGGATTCGCTGCCTCGGGCGTTCAAACGCGAGGTAAAGTTACACATTTTAGGCGCCCGGGTGAACCCTTCACAGGGATTCGCTGCCTCGGGCGTTGAAACGCGAGGTAAAGTTACACATTTTAGGCGCCCGGGTGAACCCTTCACAGGGATTCGCTGCCTCGGGCGTTCAAACGCGAGGTAAAGTTACACATTTTTCGGGCGCCGTGAACCCTTCACAGGGATTCGCCTCCTCGGGTGTTCAAACGCGAGGTAAAGTTACACATTTTGCGGGCGCCGCGCAACCCTTCACAGGGTTTGGGCGCAGCTCAACTGCATTTTGCAACCCTTCACAGGGATTGGCATTTTGCAACCCTTCACAGGGATTGGCGTGGTCGAGTGTTCGAACGCGAGGTAAAGTTGCATTTTTTGACGAGCATTGAGATGGATTATTTTATGTGCATTGAAATGAATTTTGCAACCCTTCACAGGGATTGGCGTGGTCGAGTGTTCGAACGCGAGGTAAAGTTGCATTTTTTGATGTGCATTGAGCTGAATTTTGCAACCCTTCACAGGGATTGGCGTGGTGGAGTGTTCGAACGCGAGGTAAAGTTGCAATTTTTGATGAGCATTGAGATGAATTTTGCAACCCCTCACAGGGATTGGCGTGGTCGAGTGTTCGAACGCGAGGTAAAGTTGCATTTTTTGATGAGCATTGAGATGAATTTTGCAACCCTTCACACAGATTGGCGTTGTCGAGTGTTCGAGCGCGAGGTGAAGTTACACATTTTGGTGCATGGTACATAGATGACTCCATGACTCTGTGACTCTATCTCACTATGACTCTATGACGCTATCTCACTGTAACTCTATGACTTTATGACTCATGACTCATGGACTCTATGACTCTTGACTGTATCTGCATCTCGAGGTCCAGGTCAGGCTATGAGCCCTCACGCTATGGGGATCTCGATTAAGCGTTCCCACACATAGAGCATAGAGTGAACTACATCGAGTCAAGTGCATGGTACATAGATGACTCCATGACTCTGTGACTCTATCTCACTATGACTCTATGACGCTATCTCACTGTAACTCTATGACTTTATGACTCATGACTCATGGACTCTATGACTCTTGACTCTGTGACTTTACGATCCTATACACTGGATCTATCACATAGCCCCACAATCTTCGCTGATGATGCTTTCGGGCCAATTGTCTTCTAGTTTTTAACAAAAAGTGCATCGGACTTTTGATTTAGGGTTTAGGGTTTAGGGCTTTAGGGTTTAGGATTTAGGGCTTTAGGGTTTAGGGTTAGGACTTAGGGTGTAGGGTTTAGGGTTTAAGATTTTCGGGTTCAGGGTTTAAGGTTTAGGGTTCTAGGGTTTAGGATTTAGGACTTAGGGTATAGGACTGAGGGTTTAGGGTTTAGGGTTTTAGGGTTTAGGGCTTCAGTGCTTTAGGGTTTAAAGGTTTTAGGATCTAGGGTTTAGGGTTTTAGGGTTCAGGGTTTAAGGTTTCAGGGTTTAGGGTTTAGGGTTTAGGGTTTAGGGTTGAGGGTTTTAGGGTTTAGGGTTTAGGGTTGAGGGTTGTAGGGTTTTAAGGTTTTAGGGTTTAGGATTTAGGGGCATGCACTCCTTGCTCCAGGTTTTGCCCTTGGCCATCCAAGCCTGGTGCTTCCGATCTCGGGCAGTGATATTGCCAGGATTCTGGCAGGTGTGGCACAGTGTCTGAAGCATGAACATTCAGTAGTATGGATCGTAAGGCGCAGAAGCTTGGTGAAGGAAAGTGTCGAGGCTTTCATACTAGCGTATACTGAAAATAGTAATCCTTGTGGCAGCCATTGAAATCTTTATGGGAACCCATATGGTGACCCCATAGAACCGCTAGCACCCCTTCAGTTTCAACCATGCTGCAGGGGCCTCTTTGCAACCTCAATACCCAAAAAACCTTCACCCTGTAACCCTAGACCCGAAACCCACCCCATAACGCAGCCTCAACCTACCAAAACTTACTTGTTGGTAAGGTACTCCATTTCAGGGCTTCGAATGCTTATTAAGAACTGAAAAAAGGTGGGTTCTGGTACCCCCTAGCCTTGTAGAACGCTTTACAGTCGCCTTTTACAGCCCCTAGGGCCCCTAGGACTCATATTAGAATCCGCTTTGAGCCCTGAAAGAACCATGTTCGAATCCTTTTTGAGCCCCAGAACGCTTACAATACAAAATGCTATATTAAGGCCCGTATAGAGCCCTTCTTTGCGCTCTGACAGAATCCACACGAGACGCCTGAAAGAGCCCGTTTGGAATCCATACTAAAGCCCTTCCGCAGCCGATATTAGAGACCTTATAGAGCAATACTAGAGCCCTTTTCGAAACCTTTCCTGAGCCCTTGTAGAAGCCCCTGAGCCCGAAAACCCGTAAACCAATAAACCATGCTAAACCCCTAAAACCCTAAACCCTTAAACCCTAAACCACTAAACCCTAAACCACTAAACCCCTACACCCCTAAACCCTAAACCCTAAACGCCTAAAGCCAGAAACCCTAAGCTCTAAACCCCTAATACCCTTAAACCCTAAACCCTTAAACCCTAAACCACTAAACCCTAAACCACTAAACCCTAAACCACTAAACCCCTACACCCCTAAACCCTAAACGCCTGAAGCCATAAACCCTAAACTCTAAACCCCTAAAACCCTAAACCCTCAAACCCTTAAACCCTAAAACCCTAAACCACTAACCCTAAACCCTTAAACCCGAAAGCCTACAACCTTCCAAAGCGGCCTCCGGAAGTCGGTTAGCGTTGTAGATCGGGGTCACGGCCTGGTCGCGACAGTCCCGTGAAAAGGTGGCTTTAAGGCATAGTGGTTTAAGGGTTTTGGTGACTTTAAGGTTTAGTGGTTTAGCGGTTTTGGTGGTTTAGGGCTTTGTGTTGAGGGGCCTGAGGGGCTTAGGGGTCTGGGGTTGAAGGGTGTAGGGTTTCGTGTTGAAGGGCTTCGGGTTTAGGGGTCTGGGGTTTCGGGTTGAAGGGTTGAGGGGTTGAAGGGTTTAGGGATTTGGGGTTTGGGGAAGGAGTTTAGGGGTTCGGGGTTGAGGGGTATACGGTATGTAGGTATATGGGTTCATGGGTTTATGGGTTTGGGTGTTAGGGGTTTATGGGTTGAGAGGCTTTATTCCGGCTCAAGGTCACGATCTGGGGCTTAGGGTTCAGAGGTTTCTGATATGAAGTCCCATGATCGTTTAGGTAGGGTCCGTATATTGAGGTCTCGTAATTTCTGGAAGTCCCACTCGGGAGTCTGGCAGTTTGGGCTTCGTGCCCTTTTAGAACTCTACTTACTGAGCCCTAACACCCTATTCTCAGTATGAAGGTAGATGAAGCCCCTACACTGTCGCTTGAAGAACCCTACTTCAAGAACCCTTGAGCCTAGAATCTGTTCTACCGAAATTTGTGTATAAGCGTTGAGCCCCATGTTGGATGTCTGTGCTGCCGCGCTGTACAGTGACACGCGAGAGTGCAGCCGCAGGAGTGTCAGCCCCCTAAACCCTACCTGGACCCTAAGGAACCTGCCTTTTTTAGGGTTCCCTAATATGATTTCTTTATATAAGTCCTTAAAAAGGTAGGTTACTTGGGGTTAAGGTATACCCTAAACCCCCCTAAGCCCGGTTCTTTGCCCTGACTTAGATGGTGGTTGGAACCTGGGTCTCCACGTCGTCCCTGCAACTGAGCTACGTCATGGCCACGTCTCCTCGACTGAACTGCATTCGCATCAACCCTAAACCCGAAATGGCAGTTTCCGAAACTGAGGGACCCTGATATGGTATCTTGAATAGTAGGATCCTGATTATAAGGACGCCAAAAAGAGGTACTCCTAATTTTCGGGAACTCCCAGATCAGTCTTAAAAACCTACGACTGCAGGAAATCGGAAGCCTTAGCCCGAAGCATCTCTGGACTCGCGAAGCTTTACCCTTCGGTATGGTAGTTTCCGAAAATAGGGTGCCGTATTTTGGGGTCCTTATAATAAGGATCCTATTATTTAGGGCCCTATTTTCGGAAACTCCCAAATCTTGGAACCCTAAATACCAAGGGTACCCGAATAAGTAGAGTACGGTTCTTCGTGGTTTTCTGAGTGAAGGTTTCAGAGATGTGCAGAGTGTAGCCTTGCCAGCGCCCGCAAACCCACTAAACCCTAAACCCTCACTAGTCCACTTGCACAATAGAGCTAATCCAATCCTGAAGGCCCCTTTATCAGAAAACCTTTATCGAAACATCATGCCGGCTACCAGGGTAGCCCCTATAGAACCTTTCAAGGACCCATACGGAACCCCCAAAACAGAATCCAAACCCTAAACCCTCAACGCTTTTAGGGTTTCGGGTGGAGGGTTTTGGGGCAGCGGGGGTTCAAACCCTGAACCCTAAACCCCACAGCACCCCAAACCCGAAACCCTTGCAACCCAAGACTCACCTGTAGAACTTTGCAAAACGCCCTTTAAACCTACCTTTCATGGCTTAGGGTTCCTTGGAAGGGCACCTTTCAGGGGTTAGGGTTCCTTTTAAGGATACCTTTAAGAGTTTGGGGTCTAGGGTTGCTTCAAAGAAACCCTTAAACAACATGACCCCCGAACCGCTTGGGGCCGCTGAGCCCGCTGCACTCTGGAGCAGCTCATCCAATTCAGACGAGCTGGGCCGCAACGCGAGCGCCTGGGATGTTGTTGCTTTCTAGGGCTTCAGGGTTTAGGGTCCAGCGCGACGTTCCCAGAAAAGTTCAGGGTTCTCCTTTCTTGCCATGGACTCTATACGATTGATGATATAAATCCTGCATCACCCATAGCAAGGAATATACCATTATTCCCTTAGTTTAGGGTCCGTAGGGTAATGCAGGATTTATATCATCAACCGTATCACCCTCAGGAAACCCGCTATAAACCCCAGCAAAGCCTGAGAAATGACCGTGCCCGTTTTGCTTCAATTCTTCAAGCTCCAGGGAAAACTTGACCGCAGTAGGGTAACAAGCGACTTGCATCCACTCCCCAGCAAGACGCATGAACCTGCAAGTGGAAGCCTCTTCCCACTGACCCTGACCCCGCAGACCTCCTCCCCTAGAAGGATCACAACAGCTCCCCGCCTTGAACTACCAAAACCTGCTTTTTTGTAAGGTCCCTTTAAATTCTATATAATCGGGATCATAATAAGGACCTACAAGACAGTAAGTTATCGCAGTTTAAAGTAACTTAGGCTCGAAACTTCAACTAGCGAATCTTCACCTTATGCTTCCAGCGATTCTGCAGGCCGTGTTGGGGCTCGAGGGGAATTTGGGTTCAGCAGGGGTGTCTGGTCGGAGATTTCGGGGGCAGGTTGGAATTCCTGCAACACGCCAACGCCAAATATCAAAGAGAGCCTCAAACCCCACCTATAACACATCATTGAGCAAAAAACCAAGCCCCAAAGCCCGAACGTGATACCTACACTGAAACTGCGCTCTCTGAACCCCAACCCCGTCTAAAGATCTAGCGTGGACCATACCGACCTGACATCCCGGACACAGCAAACACCCAACCAAACCCAAATCCCAAAACGCCAAACTCCTAAAGCCCTATACACTCTCTTCTCCAATAACCAGGCCCAAACAAAGTTCAAACCTTTTTAAGCAGACCCAATATATGAAGCCAAAAGTTTAAAGTTCTCCAATAGGCTAAGTAAGTTACAACCACAAAGCCCCAACACGCCAAAGACCGAAAGGCCTCCCAGAGCCCCTAAAGTCACCTAAAAACCGTAAAACCTAAGCCTCTCCGGCGGCTTCCGGCACCCCAAACCCCCCCCTAAAACCCCGAAACGCCGGGGCCGGCGCACTTGACAAAAGGCGCACGGCCTGCTCCCACAAGCTTCCACCCTCACAAACGGTGAGCCTCGGCTCTAAGGCTTCATCACAAAGGTGCACGTGGGGGAAGTCATGGGGTTTTGGGTTTACATAGGCTGGAACCGCTGGAACCCTAAACCCTAAACCCCACCTTCCCAAATACCCTACTAAAGCAAAGAGGAGCTCTCTTTGGCTTTCGGGGCTTTTTGGAAGTCTCGGGGCTTCGGATTTGGAACTTGAGGCTTAGGATTTTGTGGCGAAGGACGCTAGGTTCGGGCGGACGAGGTGTTTGGTTCAGGGCTTGGCACTATTGTAGTGCTGCTGTAGCTAGGCCCAGAGATGCGATGCTTTCAACACAAACCCCGCCTGTACCCCAAAGGCCAAAACCTGCACCCGACGTCTTGTTTCGGGACCTGAATAGTTCGACTAGTGTTTTGGCCTAGGTAAGCACCGAACCTTAAGCCTTGAACCCTGCACTTCGAACCTTAAACTCAAACCTAGACCTTAAACCCCAAGCCATAAAAGCTAAGCCATAAACTCTGCAATCCCTAAACCCGAAACCCTAAACGACTCTACAATTGATTCGAAGTCAACGCAGAATCAGCCGATTCTTAGGCCAGCACGCGGCGGTGTAAGTTCCTGGGCTTCTTTGAAAAGACTTCAAGCTCTAGGGTTTATAGGGTTTAGGGGTTTAGGGTTTAGGTGAGGGCTCGGCGTAGAGGGGTTCAGGGCCAGGGGTTTCGGGCTACCAGGGTTTAGGGAAGAAGGTTTGTGTTTTACGAAATAGGTCTAGGGTTTCGCTGATGGGTTTAAAAAGTTTACATGGCTGATGGTAAAGGGACGTCGAAGGGCAAAGACATACGAGTCCGTGGTTTACTCTTACTCATGTTGCACCCAAACCGGCCGGCGCCTCCAAGCCTGGACCCTAGGCCCCAAACCCGTAGGGCCTAAATTAAATCCAAAACTCCAACACCTAAAGCCCTGGAACCAGAAGAACCACTGCACCCTGCGCAAGCTTTGCACTGACAACCAGCTGGTGTTGAAAACTGGATTCTTCAAAAATACGAAGTTACGAAGCCCCATAACAAAAAAACACTCACACCCCACGAAAAATAGAATCAATGCTGCTCACCCTGAGAACGGGAACTTAGTTTTCAAGATGCCCAGGCTCTTGCAACAAAACCAAAATACATGCACGGCGATCTTTAAGTATAATAACACAGACACAAGGGCGAATGAAAACACATCAAAGCTTAACTAGAACATGCAGGTATACAAATACAAACACACATACTTACATTACATTACGTTACAGTACATTTCATTTCATTACGCATTACGTTGCATTGCTTTGACGTGCACTGCATTGCATTCCATTACATTACATACATACATATATATATATATATATAGATACATATACATATTCGCGTGTGGTCACCCATGCACTCATTCATGTATCATCCATCTTTTGCTCGCTGTTTCGGTATAGCTGAACCCAAAGGCCGAGGTCCTAAACCCTAAACCCTCAACCCCCCAAAACCCCTAAACCCTAAATCCCTAAACCCCTAAACCTAAACCCTAAACCCCGAGACTCTAAACCCCTAAACGCTAAACCCCTACTAAACCCTAAACCCCTAGACTCTAAACCCCTAAACCCCTACCTAAACCCTAAACCCCTTGTAAACCCTAGACGCTCTAAACCCTAAACCCTGAACCCTTAAACCCTAAACCCCTTATAAACCCTAAGCAGACCGAGGCTCTTAGGTCCCCCCTGACGGCGCGGCGCGCCATCTCCTGCGCTGCGCTTGGCGGGCCCAGGCTGTTTTCTAGGACCCTCTAAGGCTTCTATTAGATGTTAGAGTTTAGAGTTTGGGATTTAGGGTTTTCGGGTTTTGGGGTTTAGGGTTTAGGGTTTTATAGGGGTGTCGAGTTTGGGTATAGGGCTTTAGGGCTTTTAGGGGTTTAGAGTTTTATCTAAGGGTTTTACAGCTTGCTCTCTGGCATTGCAGAGGCATACAGGGGCCTCTATGGGTTCTATAGGAGTTCCGAGTTTCCCCAAAAAACTCTCAAACTCGAAAACCCTAAAACCCTAGAGCGTAAACCCTAAAGCCCTAAATCCGAAATCCGAAACCCGAAGGCCCAAAGCGGGACTTTGCTTTTTTGTTAGACTTTCATTAGACCTGCTTCTGACTGTGTACGATGCTGGGGACTTGGCAAATAGGCTCGCGGTCTTATTAGACCGGTTTTGTGACATATGACTGGAGCTTGTTTGCCAAGCGCCCCTTTGGTCATTTATCGTCACGGCTGAGGGTGCAGGCGCGTAGTACGGGAGTTTAGCTTGGGGTGACTGTGAAGTTTCTTTGCATTCTGAACTGAATGTCTCAACTGTCCTGAAACAGAACCACTAAAGAGCCCCAACTCTTTCGGAGATCCATACCCCTTTTCAAAACAACTGAACGCCTCAACCTTTGGCTTGGAAATAGCAGCTTTGGCAAAGATATGCTTCGCTGAGCTACTGGCCAGTCATCACAAAGTCCGACCGCCCACGAAACCTTAAACCCTTGGGTAGGGTCCTACAAGGGTTCTAGAATAGAACAAGGTTTTGGGTGACTTAAACCAGCGGAGTGTGGAGGGCTTTGAACGGGAGACTCTTGCTAATTGCTTTACCAAAACATCAAGTTTAACCGCTCGGTTTGCGGCAAACCGGAACACATGGATACTCATCATCTCCTCGTAATACTAAGCAGCTCCAGATGCAAGAACTGGGAAACAAAGCTGACATCTAGAAGCCTCCAGTGTTACCTGCAGACCATGCACATCCCTGAATCTTAACCTTCGTGCTGAAGGGCTTGGTGTTTGGAGGTTAACGTTTAGGCCAGGGCCAGGGCTTAGGAGTTGAAGCCTGAAAAATTAAGCCCTAAAGCCCGAAACACCTAAACCCCAAAAGTCGTTGGAAGAACAAGCAACAAAACCCTGACAGAACCCTTTTGAAGCTTGACAAAGGTCTCTAGAGCCTTCCTCCCCCAGTTCTCTCCCACGGGCGTCATTGGCATCTCAGCCTCGGTAGTTCCGGCCCCTCTGGAGTGCCCGCCATGACGTTCGACGTCTCTAAGATGCAATCCCATCTGTTCCGGGGGCATCGGCATCATCGCCTTTTCCAGCTGCATCTGCGTTGCTTTAGCAGCCGCTGCACGGTTCTCTTTGGCTTGGGCTCTTGCATCGGCTTTTGCGTCTTTGTCCGCCAGCCTTTTCAATCTGGCCTGTACCGCACGAGGTGGGATTCAGGGAGGTCAGGAAGATCAGGGTTTCAAGGTTTATGGTGTTGTGATGCCTTAACTTAAGTTTCAGGTTTTTGAAGCCTCCTGGAAATCCAATTATAGAACCAGAACCCTTTGAGGAAGCGCTGACAGGAGCAAACCAGTTTAGAGCCCTTTCAGGAAGCTTGAAAGGAACCCTTATAGAAGCCTTTCAGGCCTATAGCGCACTTTCAGCAAGGAAGCCTTCAAAGGAACCCGTACAGTATACAGCATTTCAGGAACCCTAGGAACCCCCAAATCCAAAGCATCCATCAGCTTCAAACCCCTAAACCCTAAAACCCACAATCCTACACCCCAAGCCAAACTAACCCCCAAACCCTAAACCCTAAACCCCTAAACCATCCTAAACCTCTAAACCCAAACCCCTAAACCATCCTAAACCCTAAACCCCAAACCCCAAAGCTCTAAGCACACACCCCAAACTCACCCTAAACCCTAAACCCCTAAGCCCTAAGCATACACCCCAAACTCACCCCTAAACCCTAAACCCTAAACCCCTAAACCTACAGCCCAGAGCCTCCATCAGCTCGAGGCCTCGCGGCCACTGCGCCCCTCGCGCGCACGCGAGGAGGACTTGGGCGAAGGAGTCGGCGCGCACCTTCCCAGACAGCGGAGAGGGTGGGGGTTCCTTTAAGAGATCTATAAGGGTCCTTTAAGAGATCTATAGGGGTTCTTTCAAGAGATCTACTGGGTTTAGGGTTTAGGATTTTAGGGTTTGGGGCTTAGGGCCCTGAGCCCTAAATCTTAAACCCTTAACCGTGGCCTTGGGGTTGAGGGTTTAGGGTTTAGGGGCTTGGGTTTAGGTAGTTTGCCCTTGGGCGGTGCTCGTTAAAGGGTTCAGACTTGTAGGGGTTGGGTTTGGGTGGCTGGCTTTCGGAATTGGGGACGCGTTGTGCCACGTCACGGCTGTTGAAAGAGTTCAAGCGTACTTAAAGGATCATGGGACTTGGTAACAAGGGCTATAACCAGGATAACTATACTTATAACTGCAATTACTGTACTTACAGTCTTACTGACTAAGTTCCAGGATCCTCCAAGTATGGGGCGGGTTTGGGGTTTAGGGCTTAGGGCTTAGGGCTGGGGGCTTAGGGCTTAGGATTTAAGGCTTCGGGGTTTAGGGGTTTAAGGCCTAGGGCTGAGGGTTTAGGGTTCACGGTTTTGGAGTTTTAGGGTCGGGCCTCGGGCTTAGGGTTTATGCTTGAGGCTTAGGGTCTGGGGGTTAGGGTTTAGGGTTTAGGGTTTAGGGTTTAGGGTTAGGGTCTGGGGGGTTGGGTTTAGGGTTTTGGGGTTTCGGGTGTGAGACTGAGACGCTTTGAAGAAGTAAACACAATGCCTCTTTTCATTTCGTCGCAATGAAGGGAGTACGAAAGCGTGGTTGAATTGAATTGAATGAAGTAAATCAAAGTAGCCAGAATGCCGGAAAAGGTCAAATTCATTTTGACATGAAAGTGCACTTTTCACTTGCCTTTTACCGGTCGGTTGCTTAAATGATGAACACAACTCTTTGGTCACGCAAGAACCCATCATCACATCAGGACTCCTTCATGGTCTAAAAACTAAGGATTCTTATTTCGATTTCTTTTCATGAAATAAAAACACGCGAACACTACGCTGCCTTGTTTAAAGTACATGAAAATAACAAAACGGAAACGAAAGTAGTGGATTGTAGATTCGGTTAGGTCGGTTATGTTAATCCGTTTCGTTACATGCTTTCACTTACACTTATTTTTTTCCTGACCCTCTCTAGCTAACTAACCTCAAACCGCAACCTCGGCAAAACCCCAAGACTCCATCCCAATACAACCCCGTCAAACCCAAAAAAAACAACTTATGAAAAAAACTCTAGGCCCTCAAGCCCTACACCTGCCCTGAAAGCTCAATCCCTCAATCATGACTAGGGCCCTAAAACCTAACTCTTCAAACTGTAGGGTTTAGAGTTTCGAGCCCTAAGACCCAAACGCTGAAACCCGAACCCTTGTGAAGAGCCCTTAACAGCCATGCTTTCAAGAAACCCCCTTAAAAGAACCCTTGAAATGAACCCTCGACCCTTCAATGGACACATTATAGGAACCCTTCAAAGGAAACCTTCAAAGGAACCCTTAAAAGGACCCTATCTTAACGAGGGCTCTTGCTTGGGGGATCATGGGACTTAGTAAGTAAGGCCATAGAGTACTTTATTTGCGGTTCTAAGTAGTTATAAGTATAGTTGCCCTAATTAGAACCTTAGCTACCAAGTCCCATGATCCCTTATATAAGTGGAGTCTTTCCGAGGCTTCCACCTCGGTCCCCAGGTCCTGGCGGGCGGTTTCGCTGCAGCGGCTGCCAGTGTGTAGGGTTTCGGGTTTCGGGTTCAGGGTGTAGGGTTTAGGGTTTCGGGTTCAGGGTTTAGGGTTGACCGTTTCGAGCTAGGGCTTGGAGTTTGGAGTTTAAGGTTTTGGTTGTTGGTTCAAGGCCTGCCTCATGGGGATTTTCATAGGATCTTGAATGGCTCCCTGAGGCTTTGTCAGTTTGTTCCACTCCCCCAAACCCTAAACCCCAGGATGGCTTAATTCTTATCGGCTTCAGGGCTCTGGGCTAAGGCAACCCTGAACCCTAAACCCCAAAACCCAAAGCCCCAAACCCGGCTAATGGTTTGTGCAGGGTTTTCAATTTCTGGATGGCTCGAGGTTTGGGGCTTCGGGTGAGGGCTTAAGGCGGCTTCGGGGTTTGTTCTGAACGGCTCATCATTTCGAGTTGAAAATTTAAGTTGTGTGATGTCTAAGACTCCTGATGTCGCATACTCCAGCTGTTTCGGAGCGTGAAACCTTGAACTCTTCATCCTAAGTTCTCAACCTCCTTATCACATACCGCCATGCCTGAACCGGCTCTTGCTGTTGTTTCGCGATTTCGCAGTCCCGAGTTCCGAGTTTAAATCCTTGTCGAGATCCTAATCCTAGTTCTTTGAGCCGAAATCCTCGTTCCGGCAGAAGAGAAGGCAGCGACATGCAACACACATGGTAGCAACCCCTTTGCCGGCTCTTCAATCCCAGACCCTCATCCGCAAATCCAAGGCCTCACAGCCCAGAAGCCCAACCCTAAGCCCTAAACCCAAACCCTCAACCTCAAGCCCGAAACCACTATCTGGGAACCTATCCTCTGGAACTCTAACCCCCAAACCCCAATCCTGAAAGCTGCTGTTTAGGAGGCTCCAAGCCAAACACGGGCTCAGGAAGTGAAGGTTTCAATAAGCTTTGGGTTTGAGAGTGGGAGTTACGCGGTTGCTTTGCCCACAATGCCCAGAGTCCCCCCGACCCTAAACCTTAAATCCCAATAAGCACCGCCTAAAGTCAAAAAGTTGGGGTTGTGCAGCAGTCCTGCAGCAGAAGCAGCGCCGCTTCCCACTGAGCTGCCTCCACGCTTGAACCAAAAAAACGAAATAACCCCTAAATGTTCAGCCCAAAACATCAAACCCCTATGCGCTGACAAGGCCCCCACAGGGTTTACGATTTAGCCTCTGCCCAACCGGCAAAAAGCTGCATATTAGGGCTCTTTGTTATGAGTTCCGTACACATTTCCTTAACATGGTAGGCTTTTCGATTCTGGGGGCCTGTGCTATACCGCCAAGCATACTTAGAGGATCACGGGTCACAGTAACTAGGGTTATAACTAGGGCAACTATACTTATAATCCCAATTAAGGTACCTGTAACCTTACTTACTAAGTCCCATGATGCTCCAAGTGAACCCTAATCCCTAAACCCTATAGATCCGTTTAAGGAGCCTTTTCGATCCCTTTAAGGAGCCCTTGAAGGAACCCTACTAAGTCCCATCATCCTCCAAGTAAGCCATGCACCAACCGAACATGTTGGGAGCTGCATTACGCAAGAAAAGCAAAGGCCCTGCGACTGGGCAAGGCCTCGGATATGGAGTTGAGAGTTTAGGGTTTAGTGTTTAGAGTTTAGGGTTTATGGTGTCTAGGTTTTAGGGTTTGGAGTTTAGGGTTTAGGATGTTTAGAGTTTAGGGTTTAGGGTGTTTAGAGTTTATGGTTTAGGATTTCGGGTGTTTAGAGTTTAGGGCTTATGGGTTTAAGGTGTTTAGGGTTTAGGGCTGAGGCCTAGTGGCATAACCCACAAAAGCCTAAGCAGGAGGGAGGGAATTTTTTTAAGGGTGCATTGGGACTTTCGCACTGCCATCTCCCTGCCCAATTTGCGGGAGGGATTTAGAGCTCAGGGCTTGGGAGGTCGGGCTTCGAGTTGACAAACATGCAGGTGGCATCAGCCCTGGCCCTCAATCTGTAATGGCCACGCTTTGCGTGGCTGCTTAAGCGACCAAGACAGCCGCTGCACCTCGGCACAGCACGTGATATCAGGCCTTTGTGCTAGTGCAGATGCTCCAAACACATTTTCGGCTGGAGCCATGTTCTTACCGCATTTCCTCTCGGGCGGCGACCTCCGGGGACTCATTGCAAACTTCGGCACTTCATGAATCGTGCTCCCGCCAGCCAGCCTGATGCTTGTCCAGGTGAACCTTGCTTCAGGCGATGCATGTGGAAGACAGCGGCCGACAGAGGACCGGACTGGCTGCCCTCCATGAGGAATGGCTGGTGGTCTAGCTTGATTCGTTGAAGTTGCAGCATTCCTAAAAAAATGCCCTTGCCACGAAGAAGGCTCTCCTTTTGTGACAAGCGACAAAACGCCTCTGTTGGGACTGCAGGCATGGGATGGTGCCTGCTTCCCATCCTCCTTTCTCTTCAATCCTGTCCTTCTTCGTGGCCTTTTTACCTTGCGGTGCATTTTTTTGCTGTGGCCATGCTGTCAGCGATTCCGCCAGCTTGTGTTGTCCTGACTGTTCTTGGCTTTCGTCGAACTTCTGATTATGAGTGCCAGAAACCCTAAACGTACACCCAGTCGGACCGCCTCACCCCGTCCTGAGCACAAGAAGCTTGAAGATTTGCCAGGAAGTTGCAGTGCTTCGTGGGGTTTCGGGTCTAGGTAAAGCTGAACGAATAATGAAGGTGCTGTCCCTTGTGCTTACAAGCTAAATGAGACTCATGTTTGATCCTTGCTCGGGATAGCAACGATGCATGAGACGGTGGACTCCCCCCGGCACTGAAATGTCGGTATCCCAAAACGCCGCTAAACTCACCCCTTGATCACCCGGAACAGCTCGAGCGTTCTGAAAATTAACACCAAGTACATTTTGCCACAGCATGCCCAAACATCCAGCTCAGCAAATTGGTAGCTTACATGTGGGGGGATCGGTGCATCTTGTCTTCACGGAACGATCCAGAACTACGGCTTCGACGTCGACGTATCGAAGACAAGTGCTGTGCAGACTGTTGTCTGGTATCCTGAAGTAGAGAAGAGTCTAGAGTTGGCAGTTGAGCAAGCAGGTCAATCCAACAGCGAGCCCTTGCACCCGGAGCCTCGAAGCACTCGAGGACGGCGCCCATGTTGATGCCAGAATCCTAACAACACAGAACCAAATCGCAATCATCAGCGACTTGATGCGAAAAACCATAAACTTTGTTATTCTAAACTCTTACACCCAGAACGAAAATCCGACTGCGAACCCTTGCTGGCCATCTGTATCCTCAACCGCCTTATGCAATCCATGAGAAAACCTACGCAGCCTCGTTACTGTCGCGGAAACACATGACTCCGAAACAAGTGCCTTTGAATCAAAAGCTGCAAAGTGCAGATCCTGACGGCGGTAAATCTGGTTCTCTTGTACTGGCTAGCACCGAGCAGAAAGCAACGCATGTAATGCCTGTCTACGTGTCAAAGCACCCACCAGCCCTAGGAGGCCAGCGGCTCCAAGCGCCAACTATGGCTATGGAGCCAGAAGCGCCGAGGATGGCGGTTGGGCCCTGGCGCACTCCCTGTGAGGCATCGTGTTGCGCCTTGAAGGGGCTCCTAGGTCTTCCCGAACCGATGTAATCGCGGTGGCCAACAGACCTGAGGAAGAACTCCCGAGATCAAGATCAACTCTTAACCCGATGTCTCAGAAAATGATCATTTGCGAGATCTCACCTGCGATGAAGAGCTATCAATCTATAGGTTTTGTGGAGGCCCACGAATTGCCCCAGGCTCGAGCCTGAGATCTACACCCCAAACCCTTAAACGGGCGCCTAAAGTTCAAGACCTTTTTTGCTCCTTGAGCTGCGGGGTGGGCTTTGCACCCAGTCGGTCCTTGGCGTGCCGAGGCGACTGAGTTCTGCATGAGCCGCCAGGAAGTCATAGGCAGGGGCTGGGGATGTCGGGATAAGGGATTGCAAATTACAAACTCTAAGCTCTATCGCCCTGCCTCTTACAGCCTAAAGCTTAGTGGAGTCTGGACCTGAAGCTCTACACCCTGAGGAGCCCAAGCAACCTGATTCACTGATAGAAATTCTGGGCGGATGGTTTCGAAGATCCGATCACCTCCCGCAAGGAGAATCTGCAGAGCCACATCCACTTGCAATGAGCAAACCGAGTGTCTGTGCAGTTCAGCAGCACTTAAATCCTGAAGCGTGTTTTGTTGAAGGAAGAACGGAATTGGTCCCCGGCCCCAAAGTCCCAGCATAGAACTTCCTGCAATGCGATGGTCTGCACAACCATCTCTCGTCCGGCGGTGCTAGCGCCTCCGTTCGAAGCCCACATCATGTATTCAGCACATGATGTCACCGACGCATCTGAGTTTGGTGGCTGGTAGATCTGCAGCAGATCCGCGAAGCCGCCCTCGTCACCGCTCCAAGGCTCAACACCTCTGAGGCAGCGCCATGCGGTCGTCCAGGGCAGCAGCTGCATACTGCGCCCAAGCAGTACAAAGCAGCTGTATACAGGGTGGCGCCAATGCTGAAATAATCAGCACGCATCAGTTAGAAACTTTCTGAATCCCTGGGCAACACCCCCCGCGACACTCCCCACGACACACCCCCGGCAACCACGAACACGAGTCCAACAGCGACGACACTTCTGCATCTCATGACCACGACCCCCGATCCCTGTGACTGCCAACACTTTGGAGATGCAACAACCGAACACGAGTCCACAAGCGACGACCCTTCTGCTTTGGGATTCATATCCAATGTCGGTGCCCTTCCCTAAACCCTAAAGCCCTAAACCATCCTAAATCCTAAACCCCCAAACCCCTAAAGCCCCAAACCATCCTAAATCCTAAACCACCGAACCCCAATATAAACCCTAAACCCCTAAACCTTAAACCCTACACCCCAAAATTGCAAGCCCCTGTTTCTAACACAGCTATGCCGCCTTTATCCTTGGCAAGTCAATAAGAACGACAGCATTGAAAGGCTATAAAAGCCGAAAACTATATGTCTACATATACATATACGCATATACATATACACATATCTGTATACATGTGGATATGTACGCATGTCTATGTGCAGAAAACACAAACCAGCCTGGCCGCACGCAGAGATGCAGGAGGTCAAAGTATCCCCCACTGGCTGTAGCTTTGACAGCCTCTCGGTGGAGAGCGGAACCTTAAACCCTAAACCCTTAACCCTAAACCCTGGAGGGTCCACATTTTTTCGAAAAGGAAGACCTTCGGAATCTAAAGTCGGGGTTTAGGGTTTAGGGCTTAGGGTTTAGGGTTTAGGGCGAGCACTTCGGACGGAGCGCTTCGGACGTATGACTTGGGGTGACCAGGCTCGGCATTCAAGGGTCTGAAGATCAGGATTTAAGGCTTAAGGTTTGAGGTGGAGGGGTTTCTTTTCACCGTGCTTTCAAATTACGGCTTCGGTGATATAGGGCTTCGATTTTCCAAGTGCAAGGTTTAGAGAATAGGGTTTGGGGGTTGTAGGGGTTAGGGATCAGATGGGACTACGTTTACGAGTTGGGGATCTGTACATTCAGGGTGTTTAACCACATGTTCAAGCGGGCATCCGGCACACACCTGTACATTCAAGGTATATGGGTAGTTGTCATAAATTAGGGTCCCTTTTTGGGTACCCTAAATAGCAGGTGCCGTATTACAATAAGGACCCAAAAAGGACCCTGATTTTGACAACCACCCATATATGATCCTAGATGTTGTACCTGTGCATATGCATCTGCGTGTACATGCGTGGTAAAAGTTGACATGTGTATTGCGCATTTGCAATGTTTTCCTACATGCACGAACATCTCAAGGCATATGCCAGGCTATGGCGGCACGCCTATCTCGACACGCATGCTCGAGACGATCGCTGCCCCCAGGCTATTGCTCCTCATGTTCCTACTCTCTCAACCCAACGTGAACTCATGGCCCTCTTCTGCCCGAACATATAGCGACTCGGGACCCTGACTATGGACGATTAGGGGCTTAGGGTTTAGGGTTTGGCTCACGACCTTGATACATGGGAGTTTCCGAAAATTGGGGTACCCTATTTTGGGGGTCCTTCTAATAAGGATCCTCTTATTTAGGGTACTAGATTTGGGTCCTCCACTAGCGTGCGCGGAATCGGCTCGGGCCTCAATCGTTGGAGCAAGGTGAAGGTCGTCTTCCAATGCCCCGGAGAGGCCCAGGCGGCGATGGCATTGTTGAAGCAGAAAACCTCTTTGACGGTTTAGGGGGTTTAGGGTTCAGGGTGTAGGGGCTCTAGGGGTGTAGGAGATTGGGGGTTATAGGGGTTTAGGGATTAGGGTTTAGGGTCCAGGGTTTAGGGCCGTTCAGGGTTTGGGGTTGAGGGTAGGAGCTTCAGGACACACGAACCCTAGGAATACGGGGTTTTGGGGTTTAGGTTTATGGCTTCCAAAGATTAGACTGGCCATTATACTTTCTTGATAATAAGGAACCCTCAAAATAGTATTGGTAGATTAGGCTGAAGGCTTCTCAAGATTTCCAAGGGTAAAAGGAGGGACTCTGAATAAGGACCCCTAGGTATATACCCTTAATATAGCAATTATATAGCCCATTATATAGCCCATTATAGGGTAGGGGTCCCCATTAAGGGTCCCTCCTTTTCCCCTTTGAAAATTGCGGGGCTTTAAACCTCAAGCCCAGCAGTTTACAGACTTTGGGGATGAGATGTCCGTGCTTCCCAAGCTTCAGCTCCTTGGGGGCCAGACAGGTTTAAATTACTAGGATACCCAGTAACCTAAGAATAAAAAGGCCTCTCTTTTTGGTAGTGGGTAACTTTATAAGGAACCTAGGACTACAAAAAGGGAATAAGGGTACTACTGGGCATCCTAGTTATGGTTTTAGGTGATTTAGGGTTCAGGGTTTGGGGTTTAGGGTTTAGGCTTTCAGGGTTTAGGGTGTAAAACTTTTCGAAGACTTCCAGGAGTTCAGGTCAAGATTGGGATGTAAAGGATGTCCAACAAATGCTGAACCAATAGACTCGCAAATTTCTATACTATGCGAAGTATATCTGAAACCTCCAAGAATTACCATGACAAAGCATTCTTGCCTCTTCCTGTGGTGGTGTTGGCAATGGAGACTAAACCCTAAGGCCTTAAACCCGAACTAAAGCCCCTGAAAACCCAAATCCTAAGCCCTGAACTATGCTCTAAAACATAGCATCCTTCCAAACAGCAAAAGCCTCGACTCGCAAGCAAAAACGAGCCCGTAAATCTTTAGCAATCCACGGTTTAGGGTTTAGGGTTTAGGGTTTAGGGTTTAGGGGTTTAGGGTTTAGGGTTTAAGGGTTTAGGGTTTAGGGTTTAGGGTTTAGGGTTTAGGGCAACTTTGGATTGGGGTCTAGGGTGTAGGTGCGACGGTGGGGTTCATCTGTTTGAGGTGATGTAACGGTTGTACAGCTCTTTCAAACGCCGAATGAAGCATGTCCATGAAAGGGTCAACAGACCCGACCTGGACAAGCCTCTGAACACCCTACAAGCAGCTCGGATCCTTCAAAAACCGCGCAAAATCGAAAACAAGATCTTAAATCGCCAACCAACAACCGGTTTAGGGTTTAGGGCTTAGGGAACAAACCTTCAAGCCCAAACCCTGAATCCTAACCCCTCGACGGACGCTTGAAAAGGGCGACCCTGCATGCCTGAGATCCCGGCATCCGGTGTCAAGCCCATGGAGTCCAAGCAGTCAAAGAGGTGAACAGCCTGACCGGGGCGGCTCAACAGCCTACCTTTGGTTAGTAGGGAATGGAAGAATGGTAGTAATGGTAGTTATAATTGTACCCCATTCCTCCATTCCCTACTGACCAAAGGTAAGACAAGAGTTAGGGTTTAGGAATTAGGGTTTATGGTTTTAGGTGATTTAGGGTTCAGGGTTTGGGGTTTGGGGTTTAGGGTTTGGAGTTAAGGGCTTTGGGTTTAGGGTTTGGGGTTTGTGTGCTGGGGGTTCAACACAAATTCGGGGAGACCAGTTTTTTGACGTTTAGGGTTTCGGGGTTCCGCAAAAATACGGAAAGACCCCGGGTCTGACCAAACACACACGCCCCTACTTGGAGGATCATGGGACTTAGTACTTTAATTGGGGTTATAAGTATAATTACCCTCATTATAACCCTAGTTACTAAGTCCCATGATCCTTTAAGTAACCCACAGCAACGAGAGCGAAACTTAAAGCCTCGACCCTTACGTACTCTCTGGCTCTTAGTAGAGAATGGGGGAATGGGTTATGGGGACTGCTGTTGGGGATTATGTAGGGACATTTCTCTACCATTCCCCCCATTCCCGACTAAGAAACCCTAAACCCTAAACCCTAAACCCTAAACCAGACAGTTTACCCTCAAACCCTGAACCCGAGCCCTTCATTCCCAATGTAGGAACCTGATTAAGAAACCTTGGGCCCCTAATTAGGGTCTCTAAGGGTTACTATAAGGTTTGTCAGGGATCTATAAGGGTACTATACTAATGTAGGAGCCTGATTAAGAAACTTTGGGCCTTTTTTTGGGGTTCCTTGTAGGAATCCTACTGTGTTATAGGCCCAGGGTTCCTTAATCAGGCTCCTACATTCAATCCTAAGTCCTGACCCCCGAAACCTGAAATACATGTGGTCAGGCGTCTGGCGTTCCCCGCCCCCCCCCCCCCCCCCCCAACCCCTTCCCCCGCCCCCAATGGTATGGTCTGGTACGGGGTGGGGGGGGGGGCCGGCTGGCGTTTGCGGGAGAAGGGTGGGGGCCGTTGGAGCTGCAGCTGGAGGCACGGCCACGCGGCACAAACAAGGCCAGCATCGTACAAAAGCCCTACGCAAGCCATAAATCCTGCAATGCAGCGCAGTAGCGCCTGCTCCTGCCTTTATTAGCCTTAACCTACACTTGATTCAAATCCTGCACCCAACCCTAAACCCCGCCTAAGCGCAGGCTCTAAGCCTAAACCAGAACATAAACTGTCAACGCTAACGAACCTAGACCCCAAACCCTCCCTAAGCCCTTGTCGACTCGAAGCCTTATACTGATACCTTTTTTTCACCCAAAACCCTAAACCCTAAACTCAAAAGCTTAAGCTAGACCCAAAACTCCAAAACCCCCACAACCACAACCACCCCACAGGGGGAAGAGGGAACCCACACTCCATCCCACAGGGGGGGGGGGGGGGCATCCTGGACCATAGACCATGGAGGGGGGGGGCAGGGGGGGGGGGCCGCGGAGCGACCGTTTTAACACGGGTCCTTATCAGAAGGATCTTCAGCTTCGGGACACCATATTTTCTGAAACTCCAGCAATGAACCGTTGCTAGTGATGATGGCTTGCAGCAGTGTCGAGGTTACGGTTTAGGAGTTAGGATTTGGGCGTATGGTTGAGGATTTCGGTCTTAGGCCATTCAGGCGTTGGAGCTAAGCCACCTGCAAAAAGGTGCCATCTACAACTTGCTACGCAATCTTGCCCTCAACCCTCACACGTGCAAATCCCGAAGACCAGAACCTTTAACCCTGAGGCATAGACAGGGAGTCCCGAAACCCCAAGCCAGAAACCCTGTTTAAGGTTCACCCTAAAACCCTAAACCCTAAAGCTCAGGGCTTTGGGCCGCGAAATCCGAGATTGGAGAGGCCTGGGCCCACTGCGCGGCTTTGTAGCTGGCACCGATGCAGGAAGTCATCATCTTGGCAGATGATTTGAAGTACGGGATATTTCTGCTGTGTTTAAGTGCTTGGGTTTATTAGGGCATCCCCGAAATGGCACCTCACCGTATCCACTCACCAATTTTCATTCGGAGCCCTACATGCTACCCTCACCCACCAGCCCTAAACCCTAAATCCTAAACCCTAAACCCAAAATCCCTAAACCCTAGACCGTGAAGCCAACACTTCCCTTCTACTTCATGTGCGCTTCCAGACAGCTTTGAATTCGCGACCCCGGAAAGCACAACAACAAATCTCGATAGGGTTAGACATTGAAACCCGCATCCCCTGTCCAAAGAGCAAAACCCGCAACCCTTTGTAAGCTTCTGGTAACCCCCAAAGTGTCTTGAAGGACCCGACGACCGCAAACTCTTACAGTAGCCACTATAGGTGCCCCAAAAAGCACATAAGCAAAAATTGGGATAGGGATATCCCATATCAACCCCCTTCTAATGAAGCCCTGTAAGGTAGGGATATCCCTATAAAATGCTTATGCTTATGTGCTTTTTTGGGTCCCTACACTACTTGTGCAACCCTCACTGTAGTCACTCTCAAGTAAACCCGAAAACCCTAAACCCTACTTAAAGGATCATGGGACTTAGCAACTAGGGTTAAGAATAGGGTAACCATACTTATAACTACAGATAACCCCAATTAAGGTACTTATGACCTTACTTACTAAGTCCCATGATCCTCCAAGTAGACCCTAATCCCTAAACCCCATAGATCCCTTTAAGGAACCCCGATAGCTCCCTTTAAGGACCCCTTTAAGGAGCCCTAGTTACTAAGTCCCATGATCCTCCAAGTAGTAACCTTGTGGACCGAAGAGCAATGGTGTCCGGCTTGACGGATGCACCTCCCAGGCCGCTGGGAGCGGTTCAGTTACCATCCTGAAGAAATCCTAATCAACCCTAAACCCTAAACTCTAAACCCTAAACCCTAAACTCTCAGCCCTAAACTAAACCCTAAACCCTAAACTCTCAGCCCTAAACTAAACCCTAAAGCCTAAACCCTCAACTCCAAGCCCTAAACGCTAAGCTCTGAACCCTAATCCTCCTCAATGTCTAAATAAACCTTGGGCCTACGTACGACGATTTTCGGCTTCGGGGTTAGAGCTTAGGATTTAGAGCTTTCGGTTTAGGGTTCAGACATAAGTTCAGGGTTCAGAGTTTAAGTTTAGTGTTAAGGGTTACAGAAGGGCGAGCCGTTTTTGGACTAAGACGGGTATCATGTAGGGGGCATAAGTGATTCTCAAAACTGATTTCTTGGCGCTCCGTACCGGGTGTGGTGGTTTAAGGTGGGCACACTTTAGGGTATGGGTTTAGGAGGTTTGGTTTTTTGGGTTTTTTGACGCGCTACCACTGCACGGCTGTTGATTAAGGAACTCAAGCTTTGGGTCTGCCAAGCTGTCGGGGGACCGTGGGTAAAGAAGGAACGTGCTGGCGGAAGCAACTCCCCCAAACACCCAAAAACTCCCAAACCGGGAGCCCCTAAACCAGCAACAAGACAAAAAGAAAAAATCAAACTAAGGTCCAAACCCCAGCCCCCAAAAGAAACACCCCCCCTGCCCGGCACAGCCTGGCATGTCGCTCAGAAGTTTGAGCACATGCTCCCAAGCACTGCCCATCTCGGCCGCCTCAGGTGTTGGCAAAACCCAGGGATTCCAAAAAATATTTTATTTGCTGTACGGTAGATGCCAGAAAGTTGGAACGTTAGCATCCTCATGCCCCTAAGGTAAAGTATAAGAGATCCTAGCACTAATCCTCCTAAACCCATGTTCCAACTTTCTGGCTTCTACTGTACCCTAAAATAGAAACCCTCGCAAGAACTCTAAACTCTAGAACAACGACCCTGAAAAAAATGACAATCCTAAGCCGATGGTAGGCTAGTCTTGGGGGCTTAGGGTCCAGGGGCTGTTGGGTTTGTGGCTTGGGGTTTGGGAGTCTCTAGGAACCCTAAGGGTTTAGGGTTTAGGGTTTAGGGTTTAGGGTTTAGGGTTTAGGGTTTAGGGTTTCCTAAACCCTCATGGACCTTTCTGGAGCCCCACCCTAGATCCAAATTAGAGCTCTTCGTGTGGATCTTAAAATTCTGGGGCCACAGGACCAGGGTTCTGAATCAGTTTCCTACATTATATGGATAGTTCTCCAAGTTAGGGTCCGTTGTAGAGTCCCTTCTGTGAGGGTGCCGTACTCGTTTGGGGACCTAGAAAGAGACCCTATTTTTCAGAACTACCCACATGAAAAGCCACTGCACGGGCCCTTGAAAGCCGTGCGATTGACAGAGATTGACTTTCTCTGGGGCAGACATGGCCAGGGACAACGCATGGTTTAGGGCTTAGGGGTTCAGGGCTTATGGGGTTTAGGGTTTATGTATGAGGTTTAGGGGATTTAGGGTTTCAGGCTTTAGGGGGTTTAGGGTTTAGTTTTTTTAAGGCTTAGGGGTTTGAGGGTTTAGGTTCATGTTCCCTCCGAAAATCCACAGCAGCATAGCACCCCTCCGAAAGAGCCCACAGAGACACCCCAACCCACAGCGGCGAAGGTCAGTTTGGTGTTGAGGGTTGTAGGGTTTTGGGTTTAGGGCTTTAGGGTGTTAGGGTTTTGGGGTTTAGGGTTCTTAGGGCGTCCCCTAAACCCTCTCAGGGTTCGAACCTCAAGGGCTATAAATCTGCTTGCGCGAAGTCTATGAACGGTTCTACCATGAACTTGGGGACCCTTGTAGTAGGGGTTTGTTCAAGTTGAGGAGGGATTCGGGCTTAGGGATTAGGGTTCAATTCAGGATTTTGGTTCACGGCCAAGGGTTTACAATGCTTCACAGTGTTTAGAGTTTGAGGTCTGAAGTGTAGGATAAAGAAATCCTGAGGCCATAAAGGTGAAGCTACTGCCGCTGCTGCTCCGAAGATGCGCATCTTTGGGATTGGGGGTGGCGGGTGCGGTGTAGGGTTTCGGCCTGCCCTGATTTACGAAGGAAAGATGTTAAGCGCACTCTGGATGCCAGATTCGGGGTTTTTAAAGCTAAACAGGAAACCAAACTGGGAGTTTCCGAAGAAAGTGGACCCTAAACTAGTACCACTGATAGTAGGATCCGTAATTATAAAAGGACCCCAAAATAAGGTACCCTGAAGTTTCGGAAACTCCCAACTCCGAACATGACTGCAAAAGTTCTCAGCTCATAGCCCGATCTTTAAAATCCGAGAGCCGAAAGCTTGAAAACCCCACCCCCTTAAAGGGAACTCCAGAAAGTTGGAATATGGATTAATGGTAGGATCCCCTATAATTTACCACGAGGGGGTTAGGATAATCATATTCCAACTTTCTGGCTTCTACGGTAAAGCTTGAAAACCCGACCCCCTTAACCTCAAACCCTAAACCCCATCTCATCTCCAAGAACGAAAACACTGCCGTGCATAATCCCTTGGAGTTTTAAAAGCCATGGAAATGAAAACAGGATGCTTATGAGCACTGAACGTCTGAGGAGGAGGCTCGGATGGCTGACGAAAAAGTGATGACGTTAGGCTTCGCATCGCCTGCTCTCAGATCTCGGTGTTGGCTAGAAACTATTCGGATTTGAAGTTTAATATTCGGGATTTGAAGTTTAAGGCTTCGGGATTTGAAGTTTAAGGCTTCGGGATTTGTTTTTTAAGGCTTCGGGATTTGAAGTTTAAGGCTTCGGGCTCAGGGTCTATAGGCTTCGGGATATAAGGGCTACTATACGAGTTATGGCTAAACCCTAAACCCTAAACCCTAAACCCTAAATCCTAAACCCTAAACCCTAAACCCTAAACCCTAAACCCTAAACCCTAAATCCTAAACCCTAAACCCTAAACCCTAAATCCTAAACCCTAAACCCTAAACCCTAAATCCTAAACCCTAAACCCTAAACCCTAAACCCTAAACCCTAAAGGTTATGGGTTTGAGGGTTCTGGGTTCAGGGTTCGTTGTTTCAGACCCAGAGTTCCAAGTCCAGAGCCGGACTTTGAAGAAAAGAGCCCTATACTACCCTTTTAAGGGGGACCCATAGAACCCTATACTACCCTTTAAAAGAGCCCCACCCTTAACTGGCCTTTGAAGTAACCAGGGAGAAAAAAGTATAGACTGTTATTTCATAATGGCTCCTTTAAGGAACAGGCACCAAAAAAGTGTTCAAGTATGGTACTCCAAACCCAGGAAAGCTTAGGATTTCGGAGTTGAGGGTTCGGGATTTGGGACTGGGTGCGTCGTTTAATGATCGGGATTTCGGATTTGGGGGTAGGTGCTTCTAATGTTGGGGAGTGGGAACTAGGCCAACCCGTGTACTTGTAGAAAAGGATCTGATCCTAACTTAGGTACATGCATGCACTTGTTGCTACCTTCGTTCCTCGAGGTAAATCCCTGCCCTGAGCCCCAAACTGGCCTTCATTCTGCATCTGGCTCAGGTGCCGAACTGCCGCCTGCCAGCGACTGAGGGAAGCATGCTCCGGTGTGTTTGTTTAGGGTTTACGAAGCCTCCAACCCGCAAAGCACTAAATAACCCTAAATCCCTGTAGAACCCTCTACCAAAACCCTGTCTCTGAAGGAGCCCTTGGAACCCCACAAAGCCCTGCATCCTAAACTTTGAGGCAACTCCAGCAAGAACTAGTTGTAACCCCGAATCAAGGCGCTTTCCACGACCCGTCAAGCGGACCTCAACTGGAAGTCCATGAAGCAGAATCCCTTCTGTACAGAAGAGCTTCAAGAATTCCTGAAACCCACACCCCCAAACCTATACCCACCTCCTCCAAAGCCTCCTCCAAACACAAGAGCTCCAAAAACTGGCCCACGGCTGAGGCAACACACCCCAAACCTGGAACCCAAGCCCCTATGTCCAAAACCCTAAACCCTGAAACCCTTACACCCCTTTCACACCACGAACGAAACCCACCCCAAACCCGTAAACCAAAGCCCATTACCCACGAACCGTGGCCCCAACCCTGAATCCTAAAGCCGAAACCCTAACCCATCACCCACAAACCTAAGCCCAAAGCCTAAACCCTAAACCCAAACCCCTAATTCCATATGGGGGGTTCCGAAAATAGGGGAACCTAATATAGTACCCTAAATAGTAGGATCCTTATTATAAGGACCCCCAAATACGGTACCCTTAGTTTTTGGAAACTCCTATATTCCGAGAACCACAGGCCTCCCAGCAGAGACCTTGGGCCAGTGCGCTAAGAAACGTCGTCTCTGTCGCCACCTGTGGCTAGGATACCCAGTAACCTAAGAATAAACAGGCCTCTCTTTTTGGTATTGGGTAGCTTTATAAGGGACCTAGGACTACAAAAAGGGACTAAGGGTACTACTGGGCATCCTAGGTGGCATTCTGGGCTTGAGGTGTCCCCTAAACCCTAAACCCCAAGCTTCGAGGGCTTCGTATAGCCCCAGGGAGGCCTGTGGTTTAGGGGCTTAGGGTTTAGGGGTTTAGGGTTTAGGATTTATTGTTTAGGGTTTAGGGTGGGAACATATCAGAAATAATTTTTGGGGACATGTTTGCATAGTTCTTAGAATTCATGATCTAGAGGTTCGGAGTTTACGACGATACTTACCCATGATTTGTGACCTGGGCTTTGTCAGGTGGGAAGGATTGACGAATGTAAGTTGAGAAACGTTTATGAGACTTACATGACTGTGTTCATGTTCTTCCAACTTGGGTGGTTTATATGGGGTCTATACGGTAAGGATCCCGAATCCTAAGCTGGCGTCCCTGTTCTTCTGTAACTCAAAGGGGAAAAGGAGGGACCCTTAGTAAGGACCCCTAGGTATATACCCCAATTTTGCTATTATATACCCATTATATAGCCCATCATAGGGTAGGGGTCCCCATTAAGGGTCCCTCCTTTTCCCCTTTGAGTAACTCCTATTCTTGCTGCGTCGGGCTCGGGCTTGAGGGCTTAGGGTTCAGGGTTCAGGGTTTTGGGTTTTGGGTTTAGGGTTTAGGGTTTAGGGTTTTGGGTTTTGGGTTTAGGGTTTAGGGTTTAGGGTTTAGGGTTTTGGGTTTAGGGTGGATTGGGGTCAGAGTCTACTGTAGTTTCTGAAGCTGTAGGGTTGAGAACCAAACCCTGCACGTAAGAAATGAGATGCGAACTTCCCACTGGATAGGAGTGCATTCAAACTTCGGGCACCCTGCAAAAAGTCTCCGAACCTGTTGCCTTACGTATTCATTCAAGGGGACCAGGCTCGGGACAATGAGTTTAGCCTGGCTTTACAAAACTTGGTAATTCCTAGCCCCCGAATTTTCAGGAATTCATTCGGATTTTCGCAAAAGGTTAAGGGCTTGAGGGGTTACGGTGAACGCAATACCGCTTGGGGTTTGGGACAAACAGCTGCAGCACAACTGCTTGTTGGCGAGCACTTGGTCGTCACAGTACGGCCATCAGGCTGATGCAAAGGAGATACAACACGACTCAATTTCGCATGCCTCCCAACCGAGACTCTTCAGCATGCGATCGTCTTCTTGTAAAGGATTTACGGTTTCAGGATTAAGGGATGAACGCTACACCGCTAAACCCCTAAAATCCTAAACACTGAAACCCTAAAACATATTCAAAGAAAACCTCTGGTTTCGCGCAAGCTTTGCTGCCACACCTCAGCGCCCGAAAGACCCCTGAAAATGGGGTTGATGATAGAATATAACATAACATAGCACAACAAATTACCACCTAACATAGTGTAATATGTCTACATGAACCACAACATAACAAAATATAGTACAATACCATGTAACGAAACATTACCAGCAATACGGCATGATGAGATATAAGACAGCATAATTAGGTTTGATGCGAGGTTGAGGGCGATGAAATACGACATAATGCCATGCAGATATGTCAACTACAGAATAACCTAATGCAACATAAAATTAACATACTGTAAAATCATTCTGCAGCACAACACAATATAATGGCACATGGTATATCACAGCTATTGTGCAAACGTGTGGTAATATTGTGAATGCAGTCGGGGTAGATTATATTTCATATTCTACAGGATATCACAGCACCAACGATCACAATATCAGTTAAAACAATTTCGACAACATGTCACACTGGACATCTTGTACTATGCTACACTATACTACATTATACAGAAGTACACCATGTAATGAAAAAAAACGTGCCATCTGATAATGTCACACATTGCCACATCTGACGGTATTGTATTGTATTCTGCTTTTCCATATCGAACTATCCGGCTTGATACTCTACTGTGTTGTATTATGTCTATTATGCCGTCTTACATCGCACGATATAGACATATAAGTTCAAGTTCAACGTAATAAGCCAAACCCAAGTTTGTAGTAAATGATTGAATGTAACATCAGATATGATACCATGTCGTAAAGTATGACATGATATACTAGATACTATACTATGATAAACTATAATACACATAAAAAGTCCAATTTCATACCTCATTATGTCAAACCTTACCGTTCCATGCAACATCACATCACATCTTACTGTACCATATCATAGCTATTATGACACAGTGTTGCAATACTTACTGCAACAGTATACAGTATACGAGAAGATGTTATAGTTTCGACAGAAAAGGATAATGCAATGTAGAGGCTTCTTGCCAAGAGCCTTACGAAGGCTCGTATCAAGCCCTTCATGACCTTCCGAAACCCCTCTTGAAGAACAACATTGGTTTCAATCCTGAATTGAGAACACACATCTTTAGCAGGGTGTGGAGCTTAGGGTTCACGGTTTGGCATCCCACTATAGTTTGAGCGATACATCTTGTTCAAGGGTAAGTTGGGAGGCCTCAGGTGGGGCTTAATGCCTCGCATGGCATGCGGTCGGGTGAAACGCTTGTGCTGGGCCTCAAGAGCACTAGGGACTGGGTTGAAGGGTCTGGTGTTGAAGCTTTGGGGTTGAACACTTGGAGGATCATGGGACTTAGCAAGTAAGGTTATAAGTACCTAAATCGGGGTTATAAGTTTAGTTACCCGAATTATAACCTTAGCAACTAAGTCCCATGATCCTTGAAGTAACCCTAGAACCCCTCTTCTAGAGCCCTTATAGAATCCCTACTAAGGAGCCCCTTAAGGAACCCTAGTTACGAAGTCCCGTGATCCTTTCAGCTGCCTTGGAGCCAAGGTTGGAATGGGGCCAAGCAGCAGAAAAACTAAGGGTGCCTCACTTGGGTGGTTGTCAAAATGAGGGTCCCTCTTTGGGTACCCTAAATATAAGGTGCCGTACTATAATATGGGCCCGAAAAGGGACCCTAATATTGACAACCACCCATTTAGAACATGGATATTTCGGTGTAGAGTACAGTGTAGGAACCCTCCGGAAGAATATTGGCACCTTACTTCATGATCCTTGTAGCGACGTCAGCAGAAGACGTCATCCTCCTGCTACGTTCTGCTCGAAACCTCTCCGAAAAGCACAAACAGCGATCTTATTAGGTTTGGGGATTGTTGCTGCAGCAACAAGAACGACTTTACGAGGTGGGCTTCGCGATACCCGTAACCCTAAACTCGAACTCCTTTGCCGTGATACCCTGAACACCAAATGAAACCCCGGACTGATACACCCGCCCGGGACCTGAAAGGAATTAGAATCGAAATCCCAATCTGCGGGTTTGTACAGGACTGACCCTGGACACTACACAATAGATGCTCTTGCGCCCTGCTTTTTGGCAGGTACAGGCCACGAGCCCTCGCTAGAGGAAGGGAAGCTGCACGACACTTTGCCGTGACAGCATGCCCTGCCTCTTCAAAAAGCCCGGGGCTATCCAAGATGTCGGGCTGAGAGGGATACAACTTAAACCCTGCAGCTAAGCCCGAAACTAATCCACAAAAGAAAAGCCCTCAGCTTTAGATCCCTAAACCCTAACGGCCCTAACGCCGACCCCAACTCATGTCCTAAACCCTAAACGCTAAACCCAACAGGACCCCGATGGACCCCGAACATTAGTACAGAATCGCCCACATGAACCCCGAAACCCAGGCGTCGTGATGCGAGGAGGTAGCTCTCACGATCGGACAATCTCGGGGAAGACGAGGGCTTACATCCTTATTCAAACTGGCCGCAAAAAAAGAAAGAAAGAGAGAGAGAAGGACGAATGGAGTTCAGGGTTCAGGAGTTAAGAAGGTTCTGATTTTGTAGGAGCATTCATACTGTAAGGATCAAAAAGGTATCCCGAACTCAGAAATTGGTACTAAGACTTGTGTTGATGATGGCTAAACCCTGCATCACCTTCAATGCCAAGTGGGACCTTACGTAGATTCCATACTATCGCATAGGGGATGTAAGCCGGACCTGCACACAGCCGAAACCCTTTTCAAGAATCTGTGAGCCCTTCGGTGCGTTTGAAAATGCGTACCCAAGCCCTTAAAGCCTAAGCCCCCATCCAGGCGAGGATGCTTCGGGGCTTAGGGCTTAAGATATACGATTTAGGTTGGAGCTCGAACCCGAAAAACCCAACCCATATAAACTTTGAACCCAAAGCCAGCCCCGATAAAGCGATACGCTTCAAGCGCATAGTGGATCCCCTCACGGGAGCATGTCTGTTCGAGGCTTAAGATGCGAGGGTTAGGGTTTTAGGTTTGCCCCAGCCCTCGACACCTCAACTCCAAATGTTAAAATGGACCCTAGCTCAATGTAGGAGTCTGAACCCCCAAAAACAAGTGCGGAACCCTCATCATAGAACCCTTGAAAGGAATCCGGTTCCAATGGTGCTGGCCCCTATAGTACCAACGGTCCCCGAAATCATCGCAGCCAATCACAGCTCTACAGCCGGGGAGCACAGAGGCTCTGAGTTGCTCGTTTTGGGGCTAGGCTTCTAGGGTTTAGTGCTTAGGTGTTTAAGCTTTTAGAGTTCAGGTTTCAGGGCCCAGGAGGTTTCATTATTGCTTTAGCGGGTGTTGGATTTTGCGCTTGAGGGATTTGGGGTTAAGGGTTTCCGCCTTAGTCCCTAAACCCTATAAACCCATGCTAGAGCTATAACCCATGTAACTATAGTATAGCCAAATCAAGTAAAGCACAAGCCTAACTCCCTAAGCCCTAAACTCCAAACCCTAAACCCTAACTAAGGTACTAAGCACATCGAAGTCGGCCCTTTGAGGACAGGCTGACCTTGGGAGTTAGGCTGAGGCTTTACAGGTTCTAGCGGCTTAGAGTTTAGGATGTTAGGACTGTAGATCTCGAGGGGCCTTGGGGTTTATGCTTCGTCCTGCCGATCCTGCAT